AATATTGGGTTTTATAAAATAACACGTGATATACCGCATTCCCCGGTCATGTTTCCAACTAACTGCAGATTCGAACGACGGCCGGATTTTTGAGATGCACGAATCGGGCGGATATTACAAACACCCTAGTCGAAAATTTTCATGCGGTACTTCGGATATTGCCTGTGACCGAGTCGGATAAATGAGCGCGGACCGGAAATAGTTGTGATGCATCGGATGTTCACATGCAGTTAGTCGCAAATAACAGCTGTGTTTATTGCTGTAGTCGGCAATAAACCTGTCTAAACTCATTCCTCTCATAAGAAGATGTCAATGATGCTAGTCTGACCAAGCCGGTGCTCGACGTTCGAACACATACACCCACCTGCATAATAAGCGAGCCATAGGAAAATAAAAACATCTATACATCCATACCACTCCACCACCACATCACATGCCCTTATACCGCCTCCTTTACTCACCTGTAGTGTCATCCAAGCCTATGAAGAGCGTAGTAAGCAGCTGTTTCTTAGCCCTTTCCAAGTCGTCTTCCGTAACACTATAGGAAAGGCAGTTGATGCTACACATGAGCTCATCTGGAAAACAACAACTCCAGTGCTGGAGCAACACATGTTCGCTTTCCTCAGTTAAGCTCAGAAATTTCTTAGAAAATTTTTCGTGAGAATTTCATGGTATAGTGACTATATCATGAAATTTCCACGAAACAACAAAAAATTTCTCAGAATTTTCATGAGCATATTTTCCAACATTCTCCTTACCAATAGCTCTATTCACTGCTTGCTCCGGGCTGGCCACATAGAACCCAAACAGACCAGTGTCTTTATAACACGTATTAAAGGCGGTGAATGAATCTGCCAATCAAAAATTTTCATTCGAAAAAAAGATTCTTACGATCACATCCTCTTCTATGGCGAGTCCCCCAAAAAATACTCCGCAAAATACCGATACCACACACGCAAAAAATCACAAATCGGAACAAAATTTTCTGCAGTCACCAGTCCCGAACAAGAGAGTCCATGTAAAATCCAGAGGCGAAAATTCAACAAAAAAATGACCACGACCGCATAAAAAAGAAAACACTCGACAAAGGTGTAGTCAATTTTCCACGGATAAATACAATCTAGTAAACGCCGCAAACACGACTTCAGCTACACTGATTTCTCGCAAGTCGCAAACGCTGAGGGATAATCAGCATTCAATCCATTAACCGCAAATACTATCTTCTTCTAACCCAATGAATATGCGGCGTGAAATCTGTTCATGTTCCCCCGACGAACCATCAAAGCACAAGAAGCTGCATTATTCAGATTGTTTTACCAAACGATAACCCCGGAGTTCCACCCTAGTGATATGAACAACATATTTTACGACTACTACATGCCACTAATATCACGTTTTTCACCGAGTTTTACGCCACTTCACGTAAAACGGGTGAAACTCCACTGTGGTAGATCTCCAAAACTCGTTTCCTATAATATCCCTGAAGTTTCACCCGTGATATGAAAAATATATTCCACGACTACTGCTTAGCGCCAATATCGGGTTTTTCCACAGAGAATTGCCCCGAGTGATGCTCAATCCATGAATATACATACATACAGTTTCATTCAGTGGAACTCAGCCCGTTGAACGTAAAGTGGTGTAATACTCCTATACGTACTTGTGACGAATAGGATACTCCTACAATACTCTAATAAAAGCGTTCCAAGAATAAAGTGCCATATGTTTTTCACTAGAGTGTTTTCCATATCACTAGGGTGAAACTCCGGTAGTTTTTTACATGCTGTCATAACCACCTCGAATGTCTCAAAAAATGGTGCAGCCAAAAACTGCTATACCCAGTTCTTCCTACAGAGTACTTAAATAATCAAAAATCACTCATACGAAAATTATCAAAACATCATACAACACAATATCCATAGTCACAACCATCTCCCTAAGTTCATACCAATCCACGTCGAACTTCCTTCCTCACTAGGCGCTCTCGCAACAGCCTGTATAGACGAGTTCGCCGACAGCGTAGGCGGTATCAACCCTATCACCACCAACAACACCATCAACAACAAAATTAACTCCATTTCTACCTTGGAACGCCGAGTTATATCCCCCCACTATTTGCTGCATCAGCATGAATGTAATACAATCTGGACTAGTCCACGGTACGCCCTCAAACGCCACTGCGACGTGACCAGCTGCTCCCAATGCATCCGTCCTAATATATACCATTACGCTTATACACAATAATGTAGTTTCACCCTAGTGTTATGAAAAACATATTTTACGACTACTACAGACCGCGAATATCGAGTTTTTCACCGAGTATTACGCCACTTCACGTAAAACGGGTGTAACTCCAATGAGGTGGGAAAATATGCACATGGTCAAACACATGCAAAAATTCTGAGGGAATTCTCATCGGTTTCCGTACACTTCTACCCAAATTCGTATATATACACCATCGTAGGAAAATATGCTCATCGTCAACTACATGTGTAAAGCGAACATATATTCCTCCAACACTGTATAGGAAACTCCTGAGCTCAGCTGAGGAAAGCGAACATATATTCCTCCAACACACTTGTATTACGTCGAGAGTAACTCTGAAGATACAAAATGTGGCTTCTGGATGATACGACGAGGACTTGAAGACTTTGGCAAATTACCAAATTTTTCCGCAGCCTGATAAAAAAAGCAATTCTTATTATTGGAGTTTCACCCATGATATGAAAACACTAGTGAAAAATATATTCCACGACTTCCACGAAGTATCCACTTCACGTAAAACGGGTGAAATTCCATTTTATTCTTACCACTACTA